ATGACAATTTAGTTCAGGATCAAGAAAATGTTCTAAAGGCATTGGGAGCCTTTTATAATCCTTAGGAAAAATCACTAGTTCCTAAAGATTGTGAATAGTATGATATTATATAATCATGTGCTCATGTGACTTTTGTTAAATTAACAAGCATATTTTTTGCTATCCCATATTCAGTCTAATAGTTTCAGACCAGTGGAAACCAGTAGATATCAATTAATTCTGATTCATGCTGACCTTGTATATGTCAGAGTAGAACTGTGGGTGATTTTTTTAAAGTAAATTGCCAGACCTTTCTTCTGAAGTGCCTTTGGGTATGCACAGATTGCCAGCCTTTTGGTTAGCAACTAAATAGGCTAACGGTTTGTACCACCCAGGGTCTCCAAAAAGTATGTTGCCTGATCCTGTGCTGTCCCTATTATCGGTTGTAGATCAGTCTGTTGTTTTCATTGGCTGATTTTCAGGAATAGCTCTCCAAGTCTATCTTCCTCATCTATCTTAATCTGGATGTTACATTGAAACCTGTTTAGCTCATGTTTTTGTTGTTAAGTTCCATCATAACAACCCTGTATAGGATTTCTGAGGAGCAGCTGGTAAGTTTGAACTGCCAGCCTTGATGTTGGCAGTCCAGTGATCAAACTACAGTGACACATCAGGACTCTAGCTTCACTGTTAGGTTGTTGTTTAGTGCCGTCGAGTCAGTACCCACTCACAGTGACCTTATGCACAAAAGAATGAAACACTGTCTGGTCCTGCACCAACCTTACAATCATTGTTATGCTTGAGCCCATAGCTGCTGCCATTGTGCCAAAACATTTCGTTGGGAGTCTTCCTTTTTTTTTCCTGACCCTCCACTTTACCTAGCATGATGTCATTCTTCAGGGACTGGTTTCTCCTGACAATATGGCTGAAGTGTGAGAGATGAATGAAGTCTGGCCATCCTGGCTACTAAGGAGCATTCTGGCTATACTTCTTCCAACACAGATTGGTTTGTTCTTCTAGCAGTCCATGATACTTCAGTATTCTTATCCAAACCATAACTCAAATACATTAATTGTTCTACGGTCTTTCTTACTTATTATCCAACTTTTGCATGCATATGAGGCATTTGAAATTTTCCTTGTCTTAGGTCAGGTGCCTCTTAATCCTCAGACTGACGTCTTTGCTCTTGGACACATTAAAGAGGTCTTGTCCAGCAGATTTGCCTACTGTAATATGCTGTTTGATTCCTTGACTGCTGCTTCCATGAGTGTTGATGGTTGATCAAAGCAAAATAAAGTCTTTGACATTTTCAACCATTTCTCCATTTATCGGAAGTGAATTTTAAGCCTAAAAAGCAACTGATGGGTTCAAACAGCCAACTTTTAGGCTAGCAGCCAAGGATTTAATCACTGAGTGAGATTATTTTCTGCCTAATTATGTTTGACCAGTTAGGATTCATCATTTAAAATATTTTACTTCTAAATAATAGACAACATGTATTTACATATATTGTTATTATTGTTAAGTGCTTTTGAGTAGATTCTAACTCAGAGTGACCTAGTATAGAGTTTCAAAGAAGCAATGGTGGGTTTAAACCACCAACCTTGCAGTTAGTAGTCCAGTGTTTATCCTCCAGCACCACACCAGATCTCTAGTTATACACACACACACACACACACACACACGTATCTATCTATATTATGTATTAAATGCTTGAAGACTTACTTTTTGTTGTAAATTTTAAAAAGTTAGTTCTTGATAATATTCTTAGAAATTGAAAAATGGAATAATATTTGTTGAAAATATAGTGGTCATTTTTTATATTGTGTGGCTTGCTGATTTGTTTTCACTCTATGGTGAAGTGACCACTTCTGATTTTAGGAGCTGTGGATCTGGATGCTTTAACAGATGAGAAAGAAAGAAAAGCCTTAGAAGGGATGATTAATAATTTCGGGCAAACACCTTGTCAACTGTTAAAGGTAACTCATATAAGTCATTGATAACTGAAAGTCTAGAATTTAATTGCTAATTAATTACATGACCTGTATTTTTAAAGATATTGATTTTCAAACCTTATTGCAGAATTATTTATAATTTGAGAAATATTATATCATTTAAAAATAAATTTGAATGATGGCTAATATTTTGAAATAAAATATATCACCATATTTTACTATTTCTGAGAGAGGAAAAAGTGAGATTGTTTTAGAAATTAAAGAATCAGTCAAATTATTATTTTTAAATTTGGAACAATATATTAAATTTTACTAAATATTTGTTAAGCATTTAGCAAGGCATTATTCTAGGCATTATTACTAAAAATTAGTAAGATTTGATCTGACTTTTAAGATACTTACTGTGTGGTTGCCACCACTCGTCTGTCAGTTCGTCATACTGTGGTGGCTGTCCTGTTGCTGTGTTTCTGGAAGCCATGCCACCGGTATTGGCAGAGCCAAACATGATGGACAAGTTTCAGCAGAGGCTCTAGTCTCAGACAGACTAGGAAAAAGGACAGTGGACTATTTCTGAATTGTTAGCCACTAAAAACCCGTAGGAGTAGTGTCGGAAAGCTGTCAGATAATTGTGTCATAAAATGAAAATATGAATAGCACCAGATATTGTCAGATATATAGTGCCAGAAAATGAACCTGTCAGGTTTGAAGCACTCAAACTACAACTGGGGAAGAGTCGCCTCTACAAAGTAAAGTTGATCATAATGATCTGAATGGAATAAAACTTTTGGGACCTCAAAATGACTAGAATCAGTTGCAGACATTCAATAATAATCAAAAGATTGAATGTACAAAGAATGAAGTTAGGAAAATTGTAAGCTGTCAAAAATGAAATGGAACGTATAAAGATCTATATCTTAAGCATTGTTGTTGTTAAGTGTCATCAAGTTGGTTCTGACTCATAGCGACCCTGTATAGGGTTTCCAAGGAGCAGCTGGTAAGTGTGAACCACCAAGCTTGTGGTTCAAACTGACCTTGCAGTCCAATGCTTTATTCCACAATGTCACACTAGGACTCCTATCCTAGACATTAGGGAGCTGAAATGGAGTGGTATTACCCATTTTGAATCTGACCATCATACCATTTACTATATACCTGGAATGACAAATTCAAGAGGAATGGCATAGCATTCATCATCAAAAATAACATTTCATGATATATTTTTTAAGTACAATGATGTCTGTGATAGGGTGTCCTAGTGTGGCACTGTGGGTTAATGTGCTAGACTGCAAAGTCGGCAGTTCTAGCTCACCAGCCACTCCTCAGAAACCCTGTACAGGTTGCTATGAGTTGAAACCGACCAATAGCAATTACCAACAACAAAAAAGAAGCACTAGTTAATACCACTTGAATAATTCTGGCATTTTTTTCAGTCTGAAATTGATCGAACATGTAGTCGGATGTGTTGATAATTATGGTGATTGGAATGGGAAGGTTGGAAAGTAAGAGGAAGGCTCAGTAGCTGGAAAATATGGCCTTGGTGAAAGAAATAATGCTGGCAATCACATTATAGAATTTTGCAAGCCCAGCGACTTATTCATTGCAAATACCTTCCTTAAACAACATAAAAGCAATTATACATGTGGACATCACCAGATAAAATACACAGGAATCAAATTGACTACATCTGTGAGAAGAGACTGTGGAAAATCTCCATATCATTAGCCAAACAAGGCCAGGAGTAGACTATGGAACAGACCATCAATTGCTTGTATTCAAGTTCAGGCTAACGCTGAAGAAAATTAAAACAAGTCAAAAATAGCCAAAGTATGACCTTGAACATATCCTGAATTTGGAGACCATCTCAAGAAAAGATTTGGTACAGTAGACACTAATATCTAAAGACCAGAAGAGTTTGGGGATGATATCAGGAACATCATACAGGAAAAAAACAAAAGTCACTAAACAGACAGGAAAGAAAGAAAAGACTGCAATGTTCTTTCACTTCAGAAGGTAGCATATAGTCAAGAACCAATGGTACTAAAGAAGACTGAAAGCATTGGCACAAATCAAGGCTCTGAGAATTGGTGGAATACAAATTGAAAATTTAAAATAAACTAAGGCACTGGAGGCACTCATTCATCTATGCCAACAAATTTACAAGAGCTACTTGGCCAACTGATTCAAAGAGATCCATATTTGTGCCCATTCCAAAGAGAGGTGACCTAACAGAATGCTAAAATTATTAGAAAGTATCATTAATATCACATGCAAGTAAAACTTGGCTGTAGATAATTTTTAAATGCTTGCAACTGTACATGGACAGGGAGCTGTCAGAATCTCAATCCACATTCAGAAGAGGGCTTGGAATGAGGAATAATATTGCTAATGCCAGACAGATCTAGGCTGAAAGCCAAGAATTACAGAAAGATGTTTACTTGTGCTTTATTGACTTTGCAAAAGCTTTTAAATGTTATTGATAACATTTCAAAGAATGCGTATTCCAGAACACTTAATTATGAGGAACCTGTACATACACTAAAAGATAGTCATTGTAACAAAATAAGGGGAAAATGAATGGTTTAAAATCAGTAAAGAGTTGTACACCAGGGTTGTGTGTACTGTCATCATACTAATTCAGTCTGTTTGCTGAGCAAGTAATCTGATAAACTGGATTATCTGATGATGAATGTGGCATCAGGACTGGAGGAAGACTCATTAACAGCCTGTGATAAGATATACAGATGATACTACCTTGCTTGCTGGAAGCAAAGAGGTCTAAATATATTTACTGATGAAGACCAAAGACTACAGCTTTGGTATAGGTTGCATATCAATGTTAAGAAAGCAAAAGTGCTCACAACTGGACCTATAAATAACATCATGATAAATGGAGAAAAGATTGAAGTTGTCAAAAGACTTCATTAATTTTGTTGGATCCACTAGTAACACTCATGGAAGCCCCAGTCAAGAAATCAGACAATGTATTGCAGTAGACAAATCTGCTGCACAAAAGTGTTCAAGAGCAAAATTTTAGAACTAAGGTGTGCCCGACCCAGCCGTGACGTTTTCAGTAGCCTCATATGCATGTGAAAGTTGGACAATGAATAGGAAGATCATAGAAGAACTGATGCATTTGAGTTATGGTGTTGGAGGAGAATGTTAAGGTTACCATGGGTTTGCTGGAAGGACAAATAAGTCTGTATTGGAAGAAGTACAGCCAAAATGTTCTTAGAAGACAGGTTGGGTAGACTACTTTGGACTTGTTATTAGGAGGAACCAGTCCCTTAAGGACATTATGCTTGATAAAGTGGAGGGTCTGTGAAAAACATGAAGACCCCAACAAGATGGACGGACACAGTGGCAGCAGCAATGGGCTCAAGCATAACAGCAATCGTGAGGATTGTACAAGACCAGGTAGTGTTTCATTCTGTTGAGCGTAATGTTTCTATGAGTTGAAACCAACTTAACAGCATCTACAACCACCACAACAGCACTGTGTTATTGGAAAGGCAGGCCATCACCAACTGTTTATAATCCAACATAAATATAAGGGGACCTTAGAAAGTTTGTGGAAAACTTCCCATTATCTTTTCATTACATTTTCCCATGAACTTTTTGAAGCACCCTCGTAAGTATTAAAGAAAATGCAAAATGAAATAATATAGTGAAGAAAATAATAAAAAGAATCATTGATTCTGACTTAGGAAATCAGGGAGTTATCAGTATAGTAGGGTTTTTGTAGAAAAGAGGGTAGGGAATAGTTTACTGAGGGAATAGTCTGAGCTAATGTTTGAAGCTATCAACAGTGCTTGGTATGCATTGTAGCAATATGCCAGTATGCATGAAGGGATATAATAAGAGATGTTTTGATACAGTTGTAGAATTACTTTTCCTTAAAATTATCTTGAAGGAACCACACCCTCCTAGATTATCAGCAGAAGAAGCAGTGCAGAAGCATACCAGAACAGACACTTCAACCCTAAACCTATTTCAACATCTCCCTGAACTGAAGTCGTTTTTTGTAGAGGTAACATCCAACTTGGTAACATCAAAGTTTCCTCTCTGAATCCTATATGCTTTAAAGTTAAATTTATTTTGTAATAATAGGCAAGGATTATAATCTGAATAATTATCTAAAACAGTAAATGATATCTCAAATCTGTTCTTGGATATTTAAAATAATTTGTTAACTGCTGAGTATAATCTGAATTGTTTTCTTGATTTTCTTTCCCCTACTTCTCTGATTTCTGATGAGAAAGAATAAAAAATATATATATATTTAAAATGCATTTTGTGTCAATTGATGCCTAGAGGAAGCCTAAAGTAGTTCTTATTTATGTCTGTTCATATATTTCAGTTTACATGTTGAGTTGCTTTTGAAAGTTAAGAAGGTACCCTCTTTCTAGCACATACCAACATTTTATACTCCTAGAAGAAAATCAGGTGATTAGAATAATTCATAACGTTTGCAGAAACAGTTTCTGTTCAGTGAACTACATTTATAATTTAGGAATAGTTTTATTTTCAGTGTAGGTAACTTTACCAACCAAGGTTTTCCAAAGACAAGCCAGTGACCAACCTTGCAAGTAAGCCTTTCTAAGGACAGGTGTCCTACACCCACTGTGTTAACTCTTTTCTGCATACAGAAGCCCATAAAACTCTATTTAACCCATAATCTGATGGACAAGTAATGCTGTAGTTTTGCTGTGATGCATAAGCACTATTTCCATAGTGTCTAATCAGTTGTGAGATTGTTTTTATAAGATAATACATTCTGAGCCCCACAGAGATGCTCCTTTCTATACCCACAATATCAGTGTCTGGAACCAGGTGAAAGGACATGATTGGTTTCCTTGGGTACTAATAATGATCATTTATCATAAGGGAAGGTCTTTCTCAACACATTCATATGAAAAGACAAGTACAGGTCATCTCTTTGTAGGTGTCATAATGGTGAAGAAAATTGAGGTAGCCATGAAAGCAAAGGCTTACTAAATGTATTTCTTCAGACATCATTATCACTTATGCTTTTGTTCAAATATAGGTTGTTCTCTCGATAAGTTCACAGTGTAAAGAGAAAAGATAAGCTCTATCTTTATATGTTTTATGATTTTTTTATTGTGTTACTTCATATAAAGCTCTTAAAACAGTGTCTAGTTCATAGTGCTAAGTACTGATGTAGTGCTGTAGGATAAGCATTGGACTGCTAAACACAAGGTCAAAAGTTCAAACCCACCAGTCACGCCTCAAAAACGCTAAACAGGTTAGCTATGAGTCAGAACCCATGTGAGGGTACTTAACCAAAAACAGCGAGTTCGTAGTATATATCTAATAATGTAAGGTTATCTTTACCTAATGAATCCTACAGTGCCACAGCAGGTCTCCAGATATATAGATTGTTGTTAAGTGCCGTTGAGTTTTTACCAACTCTTAGCAACCCTTTATAGAGTTTCCAAGGTGGTGGGCTTGACTCACCAAACTTGAGGTTAGCAGTCCAGTGCTTATGCTACCGTGCCACACCAGGACGCCAGATATATTGATAGTATAGATAAATATAGGTAGGAATTGTTCTCCTTTACATGTCTGTTTTCTGAAGTCCATCCATATTTTCTGGTCCTAGTTTTGTGGTTTTCAGATAGTTACCTCAGCTAAAGGAAGTTAGAACCAAAAGGGAATTTCCTTATACTATAACCAATTTTCTTATTTGACTTACTTGAGAAATGTATTCTTATAGTGTTTATATTCATGTCAGCACAGCAGAGGGAAAAGAAAAGACCTTAAATCATGGACTGTTTTAAATGGTTGGTGTTCCTTGAAATCTACATATCTAACATCAGTGATGGTATTGAAGAAAGTGATAGGTTTCAGAAGTTAACAAATATGCTATGGAAACGGCATTTTAAATTAAATGATGATGTGCTTCCGTAGGAGTCCTGGTGTGGCACTGTAGGATAAACACTGGACTGCTAACCATGAGTTTGGTGGTTCAAACCCATCAGCTGCTCCTTGGAAACCCTGTATAGGATTGCTATGAGTCAGAATCCATTTGAATTCAGGCACTTAACACAGCAGCATGTTTCAGTAAAGTGCTACATCACAGGACTCATTCTTGTTCAAAGAAAGAGAGCTTTTCAGTAACTTATGCTAAATAAAGATGAGCAGAGCCAGGTACTAAACCTCTGTCTTTCATTTTATAGGGAATTAGTGATGGTATTCCACTAATAAAGGCCATTGTTCCCAAAAATCAGTCTCGTTCTTTTATGTCTCAAGGCAGCCCTGAGTTACTGGTAAGTTGCTAATACCTTTTCTACATTGCTTTGTCTGTATCCATAGCTGCTTTGAAAAATACTGAGGAAATAAACATTTTTAAAAGTAAATTTTTAAATATGTTACAGAAAATGTATTTAGAATTAATTTGACCAAGACACAAAATGTTTCTCTTATTTACAAAACTTTTATTTTAGCTAGTTGTTGTCATTCTGAATTTTTTTTTTTTGTTGAAAAAATAGATGTATGCAAATAACAAGGACAATTTTGAACATGTAAAATTGGGATAACATCTTACCAAGTATTGAACTCTGTTAAAAAGCTATCATAATAATGAGAATAAGAAACAATATAGATTCGGACAAAAGTGTACACACAGAGCACTTTTTGAGTGCTTTACATAAATTTTGTTATTTCATCCATATAATAATTCTATGAGATAGGTACTATTATTATTTCCCATCTAGAGATGAGAAATTAAAACAAAGAGATGTAACTTGCCCAACATGAGCACTTGCAACTAAGGGACCTGGCACATGGACCAGACCTAGGTCTGTTTTAATTCTAATTTTGTCAATTAGAAATTATATTATTGTTGTTGTGAAGTGCTGCTGAGTAGGTTCCGACCCATAGTGACCTTGTATAGGATTTTCAAGGAGCAACTGGTGAGCTTGAACTGCCGACCTTGCAGTTCAAATGGCTTTGCAGTCTGGCGCATTAACCCACAGCACCACACCAGGATTCCAGAAATGATAATATCAGGGTATAACTACCACAGTGTACTACAGAGATGCCAGAATTAGACCTGTTTGGGTAAAATTATACATATTATGCATTTTCTTAAGGGGAAAGAATCTAGAAAGATACAAACTTACAGTATATTTTTAAGTGATGGAATTCATGGAATTTTCCATTTTGATATCTGTAGTTTTTAAACTTAAATGACTTTTGACAGGCAGCAACCTGTTACTTTATAATTGGTGGGGGAAGTGGCTTTTCATTTTGAAAAGATAATATCCAGTATTATTGTCACTGCTGGTGCGGCACTGTAGGATAAGCACTAGACTACAAAACAACAAGGTCGGTGGTTCAAACCCAGCAGCAGCTCCTTGGAAACCTTGTATAGGGTCACTATGAGTTCGAATCAACTCGACGCTTTAACAGCATTGTGATGATCTTAACATTTCATCAGAAATTCTATTTCTGAGTTGTGTTCTAAATATTATGTATCATAATTTTAAAATGACTTGACCCTAAATTTCTTCTGACTTCCAACTAATGTTGTTGTTGTTGTTAGGTGGCATAGAGCCAGTACCGACTCATAACGACCCTATGCACAGCAGAACGAAACACTGCCTGATCCTGGGCCAACCTCACTACTGTTGCCATGCTTGAGTCCATCAATACTGCCACCTGGCCAATCCATCATCTCTCTGGGGGTCTTCCTTTTTCTCTCTGACCCTTCATCTTACCAAACATGGTATCCTTCTTCAAAGACCGGCCCCTCTTGACAATATGTCTGAAATATGAGAGACAAAGTTTGGCCATCTTGGCCTCCAAGGAGTACTCTGGCTGCATTTCTTACAAAATGGATTTATTGGTTCTTTTGGCAGCCCATGCATGGCACTTTCAGTATTCTCCTATAACACCATAACTCAAAAGCATCAGTTCTTCTATGGTCTTCCTTATTCACTGTCCAGCTTTCGCACATGAAGTTATTGAAAATACCATGGCTTGGGTCAGGCGCACTTTAGTCCTCAAGCTGACATCTTTGCACTTTAACCCTTTAAAAAGGTCTTGTGCAGCAGGTTTTCCTAATACAATACATCATTTGATTTCTTGACTGCTGCTTCCATGAGTGTTGATAGTTGATCCAAGAAGATTGAAGTCCTTGACAACTTCAATCTTTTCTCTGTTGTTAAGAATGTTGTTTATTGGTCCAGTGGTGAGGATTTTGTTTTCTTTACATTGAGGTGTAGTCCACACCGAAGGTGTGCACTTTGATCTTCATCAGTAAATGTTTTAAGTCCTCTTCAATTTCAGCAAGCAAGATTGTATCATCTGCATATCGCAGGTTGTTAATGAGTATTCCTCCAATCCTGATGCCATGTTTTTCTTCCTAGAACCCAGCTTCTCGGATTATTTGGTCAGCATACAGGTTGAATAAGTATGGTGAAAGAATACAACCTTGTTGCACACCTTTCTTAATTTTAAAACATTGTGTTCACATGTTCTGTTTGAACAACTGCCTCTTGGTCCAGGTACAGATTCCTCATGAGCACAGTTAAGTGTTCCGGAATACTCATACTTCTCAGTGTTGTCCATAGCTTGTCATGATCCACACAATTGAAAGCCTTTGCGTAGTCAATAAAGCACAGGTAAACATCTTTTTGGTATTCTTTACTTTCAGCCAAGATCCATCGCACTTCAGCAATGATATCCCTCGTTCCACAGCCTCGTCTGAATCCGGCTTGAACTTCTGGAAGTTCTCTGTTAATGTATGCTTGCAGCTGTTTCTGTATTATCTTCAGTAAAACTTTACTTGCATGAGATATCAAAGAGATTGTCCAATTACTTCCACATTCCGTTGGGTTACCTCTTTTTGGAATGGGCACAAATACAGATCTCTTCTAGTCAGTTGGCCAGATAATTGTCTTCCAAATTTCTTGGCAGAGATGAGTGAATGCCTCACTTTCTTGAAAGATCTCAATATTTATTCCATCAATTCCTGATGCCTTGTTCTTTGCCAATACCTTCAATGCACCTTGAACTTCCTCCTTCAGTATCATTGGCTCTTGATCATACGCTACCTCTTGAAACGTTTGAACATTAACCATTTCTTTTTGGTACAGTGACTCTGTGTATTCCTTCCATCTTTCTGCATCATTCAATCATTTGCCCAAGAATCTTTCAATAACGAAAGTTTAGGCTTGAATTTTGTCTTCAGTTCCTCCAGCTTGAGAAATGCTGAGCGTGAGAACACTTTTTGGTTTTCTAATTCCAGATCTTTACACATTTTGTTTATCTTCCCAAGCTGATCTTTGAAATTTTTCATTTCACTCTCGTACCTCCTCATTTCTTCCATTTGCTTCAGCATCTCTACGCTGGAGAGCAAGTTTCAATGTCTCTTCTGACATCCATTTTGACCTTTTCCTTCTTTCTTATCTTCTTAATGACTTTTTGCTTTCTTCATGTATGATGTTCTTGATGTTCTTTTCTAGTGTTCGGTCTTTAGTGTAGAATGTATCAAATCTGTTCTTCAGATAATCTCTAAATTCAGGTGGGATATATTCAACTAATAGATGCTAATAAACTTTGAGAAATTATGAAGAAAATAAATTTTCAAATCAAAAGTAGAACTTTTAATGAATTGTATGGATCGTCATAAAGACTGACAATCATACTGAATACAAGTATACGTTGCTTAATGTCTGTTTGGGCAAAGTCTGATCGCATACATCTGTGATCCTGTAAGGATTTTTGGTTTTGTTTTATTTTTTAAGGGAAAGTAGCTCTCCTTTTGTTTATCGTTTCTCCTTAATGGTTTTAAAAGACCCTAAACCCAGACTCTTGCAGCATTGGACCAGGTGAGGCAGAGAACATGTCTCTTGATATAGGCCCTTTTTGGGCGTGGGGTGGTATGAGCCTGAACTATCCTGCTACTCAGGCAAGTGTACAGTAGGCAGGGCTGGGCATGCTCAGTTCCAGCCTCCTCAACCATACTGCCACCTGCTGCTCCTGCCACCTCCACTGACACTGTTGTTAAGTGCCATAGAGTCGGTTCTAGCCCATAGTGACCTTGTATAGGGTTTCCAAGGAGGGGTTGGTGAGCTTGAACTGCTGACCTTGCATTTCAAACTGACCTTGAATCCAGCACGTTAAATCACTGCAGAACACCAGGACTCCACTGTCACTACTAACTCCCATACTTCCCAGCTGTCAGCAACTTCAGGAGCGGCAGTAACCACAACAAAGACAACTGAAAGTATATTCATGTAAGGTTTTAATAAGGTGTTTGTACACTATGCAAACATCCCGCTCAACCTAATGTCCTATTTCACATAATGTTTTGTGGATGGAGTCCTGGTATGGCACTTTAGGATAAGCACTGGACTGCTAACCACCAGGTTGGCAATTCAAACCCACCAGTACTCCTTGGAAACCCTATACTTGGTCAGTATGAGTTAGAACCAACTCAGTGGCACATACAACAACATTGTGGATGTTAAATGACACATAACCTGTATTTCCTTTTCAAAATGAGAAGCCCACATTGATTTTTATTAAAGTAACAGGGTGCAATAATAATAACATTTGACAAGTTTTTTGCATTAAGATAAATCGCTTTTCCTGTTTGAATCTGTAAAAGATTCCACAAACTATAAATTCTAACATCATATGACTATTTTGTTGTACATTACGGCCTTCCAATTTTTATTTCATTGGAATCTTCATTTGTTCTTTTCCAGGTAACAGTAAGCATGAATAACATTATTGGAACACATGGATGGCTGCCTTATGACAGAACCATTTCTAATTACTTTACATTCATCAAAGATCAAACTGTAACAAATCCAAAGTAAGTAAATAAATATTTAAAGCAGAATAACTATGGCAGGCACCTACCTTATTACCAGGAAAAACAACTAAGTTGTTTGGTATCATTGTTAAAGTAATGTAGAAACAAGATTTTCTTTCCTTCTTTCCTTCCATTTCTGCTTTTTTGAAACTTAAGTTCTGCTCTTACTGGGTATTGGTTTAAAGACAAAGCAGAATTTCTATAATATTCTATTTTAAAAATTATTTTTTAAGCTTTTCTTGTGAATTGAGTGATAGTTTACAAGGGAGAACATCGGTTTTACACTCATCCTTTCATAGTTCATTTCATTACAATGATTACAATCCCTTCAATGCATCAGCAGTCAACAGTACTTGCTTCTTTTCCCTCTGTTTTTTGTTTGTTGTTTTTTTATGTACACAAAAACACTCAGGAATATGTAATTGTTTAAACAACCAGAGGGCAAGTTCTGCAAGCCTTCCTCCTGGATGCCAAAAACACAGCCTTTCTCTTTCCATGAGTCTAGAGTCCTTAGCTGCTCTCTCTGTATGTCATCATCTCTGGTGTTGTTGCTTCTCTGGTTAGGGTCCTGCATTCCACTCGTGCTCTTCTCCCTTGACTGCCCTAGTGTCCTCTGTTCCTGGAATAGTTGATATCAATCTAACTGATCTTTTAAGAAATCTAATTGTTAATTATACTTACAGAACTCAGCGTAGCATGAATGGTCCTTTTGCTCCAGGACTGGAGGTCACTTCTAAGCTGTTTGTAGTATCACATGATGCAAAGTTGCTCTTCAGTGCTGGACACTGGGATAATAGTATTCAAGTGATGTCACTCACAAAAGGCAAAATTATCTCTCACAATATCAGACATATGGGTAAGCCTTAAATTTTTTTCCCCAGAAGAACCGCAAAGTTTCTTTACTTTTTCTAACTATAAAAGTAGTGCATGTACCTTGTAAAGAGCATGAAGTTTTATCTTTGAAGTTAGGTAAACTTTTTGGTAATATTACCTCCTTTGTATAAGAGTGCCTCATCTATTTTAGGTATACTAAAGCAGTGTATAAATTAATACAACTTCATAATGTCTGAAAGATGTTAAGCTGTTTTTAAATAACTGATAAAATAATTCTTAGGCAGAATTTTGAGAAATTTTAAATCTGTAGTGATGAAATAAAGCATTAATTGCTCTATTACTCTGTTAACTGCAAGGAATGAGTAAAGTAACATTTTTTAATGTAAAGTTACCTGGTAACTTCTTAGTGCCTCAGTCTTTAACATAAAAATACACTGTGTAGATTGATTTCTAAAATACCTATTAAGGAAGGGAACTGGAGCCTGCTTCTAATTCTTTATCAGTGACTCCTAAGATGCCACTTAGCCCAGTTTCTTGTAGTTCAGAAAAAATGTGTTTTACAGTGTAAATTTACATTGTCTGTGGAATACACATACAGAATATAACCTGTTTCCTTAAAGACACTCTCTTTAAGATTGTAATTCCCAAGGGGAGTATTAGGTGACTGGGAATGAAAGTGGAGAGGCATATAAAAATCAGCTGGGTATTCATTTCAAGCTTTGTATCTTTCAGGAGCTCTGGTAGTATATTGGGTTTCGAGTTGGGCTGCTAACCTCAAGGTCAGCAGTTTGAATCTACTGAAAGATGAGGCTTTCTGTTCTCATAAAGATTTACACCCTAGGAAACCTTACACAGGGTCGTTATGAGTCAGAACGGACTCCATACACATAACCACCACCACCATCCTCCTTCCAGGATTCTAATAGGCATTCTCAGCCCCCACCTACCTCTCCTCTTACCCTTAAAGAAGAATGGCTTCACAGAAAGCTGTCTTGGGGAATTTGATATTGCTTCTTTCTTATGTCACTCTTTCCTAATCCTTCCCTAACATTTCTCTCTGTTAGATACAACTTACTTAGTAGTGGTTTGAACAAAAATTAAAATTTCTCTTAAAGTTCTGTTCCAGCAAAACCCAGCTGTTTCATTTTATTCTCCACCCCCCTTTTTTTTTTTTTTTACAGATATTGTGACTTGCTTAGGTACAGATTACTGTGGAATACATTTGATTTCTGGTTCCAGAGACACTACATGTATGATATGGCAAATAACACAACAGGTACTCAGACATTTAAATGCTCTTGGTTTAGATCAGAGGTTCCTCCCTAGAATACTGTTGAGATGTTTGCGTAGGGTAATACATTTTTCCTTGGCATGAATGCCTGTTTGAGCTCCTTTGCATTTCTTACCTCTGTCTTATTTTATTCTGATCACACCTATTAGAGCAGTCAGACTGAAAGGAATACAGATGTGCCCCAGGTAATAGGGAGTCAAGAAGAATTTATCTACATCCTATAGAGCAGATAGACAGTCTGAATGGATGTGTAGGATGACCCTCATTGAAAGGAATACTAGAACAAGTTTCAAACATTCTATAGCAAAAAAAAAAAAAACAAACAAAGCGTGCTAAAAATAGATGAGGAGTCATCTTTCTTCTGGAGAAAAATAACTCGAGGAAAGAGACATATTCTCTACAATTAATTTATGCTATTATAAGAACATAAGAATAGCAGTTTAATATAGAACGTAGAAGATGAAATGATAAAACAGCATTGTTGTTAATTGCCATTAAGTTGATTCCAAATTATAGAGACTCCATGTGTGTAGAGTAGAACAGCTACATGGAACTCCATAGATAGAACATGTCACCAAGCCTTTCTTCTGAGGTGCTTTTGAGTTGATTTGAGCTTCCAACTTTTCAGCAAATAGTCAAGTGCTTAACTGTTTGCATCATCCAGCAGCTTCTGATAAAATAGCATAATAAGATTAAACAGGAGATTGCAAAAGAGTCAAACAGAGACTTAAAGTAACACCATTATAAATACGTGTAAACAGAAATGGCAAGACCCAGATTTGATGAGGCTAAAAATGAAATTAATGTCATGGAATAAGATTTACAGTGATCAAAGTCAATACTTTGATCGATACAAAATAAAAAAGATAAAAAATATTATGTAGCATTTAGAGAAAGAATGATAGCTATATAAATCAAAGACCAGTCAATCTAAAGATAATTGGTGTTTTTGAAATCCAGATTCCAATAAATGGAAAAGAGGAAGTATTCAGAGATAAAACAAACATTTCTTTGAAGTATAGGAAAAATAAATCTGTAAATCAAAATAACCTCCATAGAAAAATTAATAGGAGACAGTCACCATTGAGACAATTTCAGATTAAGTTTTTGAGCTTCAAAAGATTAAGAATAATATGGAATCCAAGAAGAAAACACAATAAGGATTACTATGAATAATTCAATGGTAAAAACTTGTTGCAATATTAGTTTTTAATTAGAAGGTTTAAATGCAATATAAATCTTATTATTAAAAAATAATCTTTAAGAAATCCTCTTTACCTTTGCTTTCCTGTTTCAAAATTAGGGAGGAACCCCTGTGGGTTTAGCATCTAAACCCTTTCAGATTCTGTATGGACACACCAATGAGGTATTGAGTGTCGCCATCAGCACTGAACTCGACATGGCAGTGTCAGGATCAAGGGTAAGATTTCGCTCTTCAAAAATGCTATTTTTTTTTCCTATAAATTTAGAAGCAGTATTTCTATTTTTAAAGTTTTTTTAGGGGAATTAATGAAAGTATAGTTTTTATACCATATTTGTGTAGGACTTTGCAAAAGTAGAGTAATATAAAACAATTAAGAAATTAGGTTCTATTTTGGGATTTTATCGGTCTTCATGGTTGACAGAAGAGGACATTCTATGAAGTAAAATAATGTGAGGGTAAGTCAAAAAATATTGCTACAAATGATAAAATCCTTTATGAGACAAAAATATCAAAAAGTGAAGCTATTGTTTCTCAACATATCCTTCATGAAGGTCTATACACTTCTGTAGGTGAGTTTCCATCTGTTTAACCTTTCCCCCAGTAATCCTCTCTTCTATTTACACCACATGAAATTGCCAGTTTGGGCATCTTTGAGTGACTCAAATTGTGTTCCTTATCAGTGTTCTTTGACTTTGGGGAATAAAAAGAAGTCTGAAAGGGTTAATATCAGGGTGGTGTAGGGTAGATGGGATAAGGATTCTCAACAAAATAGGTCCCCATGTCCTTGGGGAAAATCTATCAAGATTACCCCTATGGCATTCCATAAAGCAGTTGGCATAACCTTCTGAGCTGACCTCTCTGCCTTAATTTAACTAGTCCAGCAGATCCTTATGAAACCATTGTTTGTATTGGACATTTTTCTTTGAAGGCACCCTAATGAGACTAAAACAAACATTAGAGGACTTGTCTGCAACTATCTACTGATCACAAACTTTAACATATTTTGTTTGAAATAAACCCATGCATGTATAAGCTAGAACCCTGCTAGCAATACTTTTTTACTTAACATTTGTATTTAAAATAATAAGGTTGGAATTTATCCTAAAATACGTGCAGACTATACCTTTGATGGAATAATAATTTTCCCAGTTCTTTTCCCACATTTCTGTGTCCAGCCTGTTTTCTCTTTTTTGCTATTATTTTCCTTTAACCTTATAATTTTCTAATATTTTCTCTTTATAGGATGGCACTGTGATTATACATACCATTCAGAAAGGTCAATACATGCGGACTCTACGACCACCCTGTGAGAGTTCTCTGCTTCTGACCATTCCCAATTTGGCTATCTCTTGGGAGGGACATATTGTCATTTACTCCAGCATTGAAGAAAAGACCACCTTCAAGGTATCTGTTTTCTGTGGTAGGGCCAGACTGTTAAACTTACCTTGCCTTTTCTTCTCCTCAATATAGATGAGGAATTTCAAGCAGTTAAGAGCACCATATTTTTAAAGAGAATGTTTTCCTGTCATCATTTAATTGTTTATTTCATACTATTAGAAGGACTTCTATCACAATCTTGGCCTCACATTTATACTTTATTGTAGGTATTTCCATTGGCTTGTATAATATATGATTTTAAAAATAATTTCTGGTTATGTGAGACTTTGTAAATTTAGGTAGAAATTATAGCTAATCTAGATTCTTTTTGAACAAGGTAAGGTGTAAATAAACTATGAATTTTATATAATTATTTTCTTGTCAATCATGTAGCTTTAAAATTTTTTTTTTTTTTTTAATGAAGGTGACTTTTTTTGTACTGGATAAGGTTTTAAAAAATCCTTTTGGGAGAATGAGATTATCTTCTTTAGTATTAATTAACTTGTGCATCTGATTTGAAATCATGATAATATTATTTACACACTTTTTAAAAATAACTGTAGTCTTATTATAAAAACTCAGTAATTTTTCTGTTATAATCATATTTTTAACTGGCGGTATAAAAACTAGTTTTTATTTGAAATAATTAAGTTTTCTAATCTAATTTTTGCAGGATAAGAATATATTACATCTGTTTTCTATAAATGGAAAGTACTTACGGTCTCAAATTCTGAAAGAGCAAGTATCAGATATATGTATAATTGGAGAACATATTATCACAGGCAGTTTACAAGGGTTCCTGTCCATAAGAGATCTTTACAGGTAATAAAAAAAAAAAGTATCACCTTTTCTTTTTTAACAGTTTTTTTAAAATTGATATTTTTTTCTCATTTTTTGGCTTATCAGTTAGTGTGAAAAAAGTCTTTTTTGGAAATGATTTGTAAAAAATGTCTGTAGCTGAAATATTCCTGGATTAATAAATGAAACATACAAGTATATTAAGAAAATATGTAGAGACAGCAAAAAGATTTATGTAGTGCTTACCTTGGGCTCCTGGTGTGTTGCTGTAGGATAAACCTGGACTGCTAACCATAAGGTCAGTAGTTGAAACCCTCCAACTACTTTTCAGAAACCATGTGCAGGATCACTATGTGCAGGATCACTATGAGTCAGAACCAACTTGACAACACTTAATAAAAACAACAAGCTGCTCAGGAGACAACAAGCCAAGCGGTCTGGTCCCCTCAGGGAAAACTACCTTTCAAGACTAAGACTCAATGGGAATACACGCTCTGATTGGTGACCATGTTTGTCACTGATAAAGGGAAGTGAGGGAAAAAGAGCAGTGAAGCTGCAAGCTAAGCCCTACAACGTTTAATAGACTTGTGAAACCGGGTGGATACCTGGTCAGCCAGCAGTGTGGCGAGACCTGGGGAGTCTTGGGCCCAGTCAGTGACATAGCCGCCGAGGACTAGAGTGGAGAGT